TTAAGCACAATTTTGTTTTGAACGATTCTTGTGTGGAATTTAGCCAAGTAACGTATTTTTTCATCAGTGCCGCGGCTTGGCCTTTTGCTTGCAAGAATCATTCTACGATGTGAAATTTTTTTCTATGTTCTTTGTTCACGAAAGCGGTCTATTCACCTGAAAACTACTTAACATCTAAAATTAAAACACGTACATTCCGCTGATTCAAATTCCCCACCTCACCCAGGCAAGGTTCAAATTCCCCATCCCCTGGCGCACAGAAGACAGTCAAATGCCCGTGAGTTGCCCAGGGGGAAGATGAAGCTTCGAACTGATCGGCGCATATCGAGTATTCTACCGATAAAGCCTCCTGGTGGAAAATTGGAGACGCACTTTGAGACTTGATTCCTGTAACAGAGCAACTATTCTTTTCCTTTAAGCAAAATGAAAACCACTTTGTTCGCTCACATCTTTTGCAACCTCATTGCATAAATTTCAGTTGAAACTTTGATGGCAATACTTGTAAGAAAATAAGGCACATAGTTGATATACACCATGTCATCACCCTCTATCCTTCATTCCACCGACAAAGACATACACAAATCTCATTACAAAGAAGTCGTTTAACGAGGATAAACGGCTAACTTAACGAGGAGCTTTCGAAACGAATTACTAAAATGAAATAAGAAGTCAGAACTTTCTGAAATCAATTCAGCCTGCCTGTTGGTTCTATAACCACCTCCCTCTCATTTCCGAAGAGAACAGAACAAATTCGTTGTTATAATGTCGTGTTGTTATGGAAGTGGAAGGACAGCTACACACGTATCACTGTGTTTGATCGTGATAGCATCATGTTGCTAATGAATTTAAAAAGGGCAGCTACAAATGTATCACTGTCTTTAACCGTGTGTGCAGCCATTGTTCTGTTTAATGCTAGTATTACCTGAACCATTTCTGTGGCCAGAGATTCAGCGCCACTTAACAGCAACAACCTTCGGCGAGAAAAAAAGAATCAAAGGAATAAAATCAACCAATCAATTAATAAATAAACTTAATTATATTAATCCTGGCTGACTGGAACTCGTTTAACTTGAATTTACATTAAGTTACCGTAAAGCTTCAAGCCACTCCCCTTGTGGAAAATTATTTCATTCATTTACCGTCAGCTAACTCGATTCAACCGCTACCTCGAACTTTTTTTCGTTGCCCTTAGCGTTTCGAGATGACGAAGCTCTCCTCCACATAGCTCAAGATCTGAGGAATACGACACAGTCTGTGAATCTGACTGACTGGCAGCTTCTCTGCATTCTTCCCTGAATGTTAGTAATATAATTATGATTCTACAACTCACTTTGGGGCTACAAGTCCAAGTCGCTGAGGTTGAAAATCAACAAACAAATCTAAGTGGGAGGGAAAAAAAAGATTATTTCAAGCCATACATTTAAATAGCACAAATCAATATACTTTAAAGAAGTACAATCTTAAGTGAACACCCTAGATATGAAAACGGAAAGAAGTTTGTGTTTACAAAAATAGAATTCAAACCACTGACCGACGAATTTACAGAAATATTGAAACGCATAAGAGCTGCACGATAGGGAGATATATCTATTACTGGGGCAACGTAAATAAATCTCAGTAGCGAGTTTAGAAAAGTTAATATTTCGAGCGCTAAAACTTTCTTAAGGCAAAAAGGAGGATTGTGGGTAACATAACTCCACACCCGAGTGCTGAGTAGGAGTGCTGACGCAACATAAACGTTTCTTTAGAAACTATTTACTTGGCTTAAAGATATTCCTATTAAAGGATGTACTGTGTAAATCTTTCAAAGTTGTCGTAACTGATCCACACATAGGACATAAGAATAAAGAAAAAAAAAAGATGGAGACACCATGTTGTTAATTTTAGAGATCTTTGCTGAGTTGCGCGATAAATGTTCGAAACTGTAACAACCGAAAAAATTGTTCTGTTATAACATTAATCATGACCATTACAATTTCTTCAAATGTGATTGGTGCAGTAGCTGTTTTATTTTTCACTAATCATTCTGTAGAATGTAGTAATCGGACAGTGTAATCGGACAGTTGGCCGTAATCGGACACCTGTAATCGGACAGTTGAAGCAGCCAATCATACTAAGTCCTTTCAGTCAAATCCACCAATCACAGACAGGCCTGAATCACAGAATTGATCACAATAACCATAGCAACAACCACTTATCCTAAAAAAGTTGTGGAACTTCCAAAGTTGAGGAATTTTTTACTAAGACATTGTCTCTACTGCCCATATTTGTCCTCGTATTTGTAGAGTTTTAATCGGACAGTGTAATCGGACAACTGTACTTGGACAGTTGAAGCAGCCAATCGTACTTGATCCACTCAGCTAAATCCAAAAATAACAGAACTGATCACAATAACCATAGCAACAACCACTTATCCTCCCCAAAAGAACTGAGGAATCTCTAAAGTGGAGGAATTCTTAATTTTGACATTGTCTCTACTAGAGATATTTGTTGTGGATATTTTTTTTTTCGAAAATTGTAATGGTTATTATTAACTCATGATTAGCAAATCGCACTCCTGCTTTGCAGTCGTCCGATTTTGTTAATCACTCGTATGATTACAGACCGAATTGGACTCCACTCAGTCCTATTACCATTATTAATAGAAGCCGCCATTGTGTTGCTGCGCGCGTGCTACTCGCGCAGGAAAAATTATACGAAATAAGGATGGGCAATGCAATAATAAGAAATTAGTGTTAAAAAATAATCCATATTAAATAAGCGTATGGAAGTGACACTGCTACCGGAAAAGGCTTTTCAGCCAAGATTGCTATTTCTAATCCTCTTTCTGAAAGGCCTATTACCAAAAAGCAGCAATTTAACCGACTTAAAAGAGAGTATTGTCAGATCTAGAAGCTTTTGCACACCAACTCAAAACCTATGATTCAATCGACAAACACATTGCATGGACGAGTCCATGGACGTTTAACAGCTTCCTCGTTCTAATTATAAGGTTATGGGATATCGAATTTACCTTATTGTTTCAACATACATAACTTAAATATGACTTGGCATTAGATGTATTTTCCTATTTGAATCGTATATTTTTGTATTTTTATAAGTTAGATATTAGAAAAAAAAAACTATAGGTATAACCCAGAGACAAACCTGCATCATATTCAGGTAATCGGGTAACTCCAGGCCAAGTTTCCTCAGTGGCTGTTCCAGATATCTAAAGGGATACGATACATAAAAGAAACAGAATCAGATCTGCATGCTGATCACAAACTTTTTAACTACCGAGTTCTTATTAGACCATTCTCTGGGGAAATATACATCTCTGAGGCGACAAACGGTTTAAGGTGGCGGATAAAGTTTTCTTGAACTCTGACCGGCATCATGGCCACCAATAATCTGTAATTAATTTCATTGAAGTTAATTGCTGAAAAATATTGTATGACTGTTTCACATCAAAATTTGTCCAGCAACTAAACGTGATCAGCTTATCCGTACACGGGCAACACAACAAGTTTAAAGTTATTAAATATTTTAAATTCGAAATTTAAATAACGAAATAATCAAGATAATCATAGTGACAATTTCAACTTATCAAATTCAGTGTTTTTTATCTCACAATTTTAAAAGGAGTTTACAGAAATTCTTAACAATACCTGCCAGATTTTATTGAGTTGATCAATAGAATCTCTCATTCCAGGAAACAGCGCAATTCCTGTCATCATCTCTATAAAAATACAACCAGCACCCCTTGGAAAAACAAAATGCAAATATCAGAAAAACAAACTTCTGCAGGAATAAACCCTGCTATGAGATTCTGACGTCTATTTCTCATACTATATTAATAGCCATTAGTCTCACCAGATATCTAACGAGGTAGTATAATCTTTTGATCCAAGTAAAACATCAGGAGGTCGATACCTGCAAATTAGTTAATCAAATGTAAGTAATGTTTGATAGCTTGTAATTTGCCTCTAGTTGATTTTTCCACCTTTCTAACAAATCTTGCCAAATGTCAATTAATTTTTGTAGTAGCTCTAACAGTAAAACTGTTTGTAGCCTTGGTAATCATGATAAAGACGGCATTGATAATAGTAATAATAACAATAACGATTATAATAGTACCTATTCATTCACATTTGTAAAAAGTACAACTCTTTCATTACATTTTGTGGAGTAAAGAATGTTTATATTGATAAACCTAGCATAGGTAAACAGAGAATGTAGTAAAATGGAAGTAAAAATATCAAAAATGGTACAAAAACATGTGAAACATGTATAGTAGAGTGTTAATTTCATTTTAGAACTTTAGATCCCTTGTATAAGGGTTCTTACAGTAGCTTGGATTAAGTTTGAACAAGTGAAATATTTAGTCCTGAAATTATT